AGAGCCCAACCCGGGGCTTGAACCCATGAACCACGAGATCATGACCTGGGCTGAAGTCAGATGCTTAAATGCTCAACCCATTGAGCCACCCAGGTGTCCCAGCTGCTCTTCTGTTTCAACCTGAGCTCTCCCTATGGCCTCCCAGGAGACTGATAGTAACAGGAAACTTGCAGGGATGCCTTTCTTTGTCCTGCAGTGAATGGCTGGAGTGTGCACTTCCTTTGGTCTTCTGAATGCTCCTCTTTTCCATCTGCGGTCTTTTTCTGCTGAGACTTGGTGTTTGTCACACAGAGGACAGAACTTGTCCTCACTCTGGGTCTCCTTATGTGACATTCAAAGCCCCTAGTCATAACAACTGCTGTCCAGACTAACACACCTATTCTCTGCAGAGTCTCCCTTGTACTCACTGCCCTGGGCCTTGGTACTCTGAACTCAGGGAGCCCAGGAAAGACTACGAGTCCCTAAAAGCCTGGACCCAGGGGATTTCCACTTCTGTTCACAGCACCTGTATAGACTCTGGGCCCTATAAAGGAGTAGACACTGATGACATTATAAGGGTTTGGTTTTGTTTACTTTGTCCACAGGATTTAGGATTCTGCCATTTGGCAGCCTTGGCTTGTCCACCAAAGCATCTTAGCACCTCTTTCCCACGGTTTCCCTTGGTGATCCCCTGCTGTCCCTGGAAGCCTGACTATTGGTCCCAGAGCTCTCAGTGACACCCATTCTGAGCATGTGGGTGAGGCCATGCGTCAGGAGATCCACCAGTACCCCCATGACTTCACTGTGCAGGCGTGGGGTTTGGGGAGAGCTGTAGGGCCCGCTCTGCACACATCGCCAGGCGCGGAGGATGTGCTCACGGCAGAAAGGCAGCTCCTAGGCTCCCTTTCATTCTCCTGCAGTACAACCCCTGCATTCTATTTATTTTTTATTTAATTTTTTAAAAATTTACATCCAAGTTAGTTAGCATATAGTGCAATGATTTCAGGAGTAGATTCCTTAATGCCCCTTACCCGTGTAGCCCATCCCCCCTCCCACAGCCCCTCCAGCAACACTGTTTGTTCTCCATATTTAAGAGTCTCTTATGTTATGTCCCCGTCCCTGTTTTTATATTATTTTTGCTTCCCTTCCCTTGTGTTCATCTGTTTCGTGTCTTAAAGTCCTCATATGAGTGAAGTCATGATATTTGGCGTTCTCTAATTTCGCTTAGCATAATACCCTCCAGTTCCATCCATGTAGTTGCAAATGGCGAGATTTCATTCTTTTTGATCACCGAGTAAAACTCCATTGTATATATATATACCACATCTTCTTTATCCATTCATCCATCGATGGACATTTGGGCTCTTTCCATACTTTGGCTATTGTGGATAGTGCTGCTACAAACATTGGAGAACCCCTGCGTTTTAGCTGTGTGCACGACCTCACAGCTCAAGACCACATTTTCCAGCTTCCTTTGTGGTGGATGAGGCATGTGACTAGCCCAAGAGACCCAAGCAGGCCCAACCATGCAAATCCCAGCCCGTGCACTCACGGGGAAAAGGAACATGCAGCCCCCTGCCTACTTTCTATGGGCTCGCCTGATACCCTGGTGAGACACCTTGGACCAGCACCTAGGGCGTGGAGGGCAACAGGAGAGAAGGAGCCCGTGCCACAGCCACCTCTCAGCCAAGGCTGCCTGCTTCCAGACTATTCCAACAGAGAAAAATACATGTCTACCTTGTGTAAGCCACAGTGTTTGGGGTCTCTTTGTTACAGCAACCTGACCCATATTCTGCCTGATACAGCACTCGATACATGGTACTTCCTTCCCCTCTGTGCACCTTGGGGAAGGGGTACTGTGCAGGGCAGGGTGCCAGAGGCTGTCAAGGCCAGATTTCTGCTCTGCAACCATCCAGACTCCTCTGTTACAAACAGTTGGGGGCACGCTGGCTCACCTCTCACCCATTTTCTTAGCTTGTGGGCCAAGACAAACACTACTTTTCCAGTCATAGAGGTCACAAAGGGTGACAAAGGTGGTGGCATGGGGGTCTCCAAGGGCCAAGTCACAAGCCAGGCGCCTCAGCAGAGCTCTCAGTGTTCTTGTGGGTCCCACTACGGGGGTGCCCGCACAGGTGCCGGCCACGGCCCAGCACGGAGACCCCGCCTCCCCAGCCTCTCCACCTGGCCGAGAGACAGGCTCCCACCCTAGAAAGGGGCTTTGCTGTTGTCCAAAGTCACATTCACGCTCACCAACGGCACCCGGGGACTATCGTGTCCATCCTGCAGGGTGAACTCGGAAAGTTTTAACAAACTCGTCTGAAGGTAGAGTGAGGATCCAGAGACAGCCGCCTTCGTGCCCACATCCTTCCCTCTTGCCGTGCTCACTCTGCTGTCCCTGCCAGCTCTCTCTCAGCTGGCGCCTCTGGGAAGCAGAGCCTGGGGCTGTGCTGCCCACGCGGGACAGGTGTCAGCACACACATTAGGTGGGGAGTCCAGAGCCCAGACCGAGGGCGATGGCTTAGACCACCCTGCACACCGGCCAGCCTTACCTTGGCCAGGACAGGTTAGCCAGGGCACTGCAAGCTCGGAGCAGTGGACTTTGGGGCACATACACGGAGGTAAGCAGAGTCCTGGTGCCTGGCATCACGGGGACATGGGCTCACAGACTTATTCCTCCTCCAGTGACCGTCCTGACCTCCACTGTTCCTCTTATTTGGGCTGCACCGCTTGTTTATGAATAAAGAAAGGCTACGTTAATGCACCTGGAAATCAATGCCTCACTTCCCCACAGCATGTTTGACCACAGAGGGTAAGTCAAAGGATAGAGGTCACAAGGCAAAGTCCTTTCCCCAGGACCAGAGCTGGTCAGGATGGAAGCGTCCATTCCCCGATCACTCATGCTGTGTGCTGGGCACACGTGAAAGCTTCACACCTGCCAGCTCCTGCCAGGCAGGAAAGATGATGGTGGCAGATGACTCCCATCAGCAGGAACAGTGGCTCAAAGGCCCGTGACCTCACGCACACGTGCACACACATCTCACTTAGACATCGCTCTGCTACAAATCCATGGGTGCATCACCACCTGCCTCCATCTCCGAGGAGGTCCCTAAAAACTACTTGCCCAACTTGCATTGGACTTCTAAGGGTCACCCTTAGAAGGTCCTTGTCTGTCACCTCACGTGGACGGGAGAGCTGGGGCTGCCTCGTTACTACAGCCACCAAGCCCACCTTCTCTGCCCAATCTCAGCCACCCCACTGAGCCCCTTGCTAGCTCACGGCCTCTCCTTCTTCTGAGGCTCCCACTGTCCCCTGCTTCCAACCCACCGGGACATGTGGATGCACTCAGACCTCAACTGTGCAAGCACACGGTGGAGATGCCAGGAATCTGGGGGAATTCAGGAGGACTTGTCTCCCCAGAGCTCAGAGCAGCTGGGATGGGTGCAGGAGGCGGCCTCCTGGCATATACTGGCCTCTCTAATCTCCCCTCCACCAGTCCACTCGTTCACTATGCCCCGAGCCGGTGAGAATAACTATGCCATCTCCGAAGGGGACTCTCCTCTGCACAGCAGATGCTTGAAGGACTGACTGCACAGGAAGCACTGTGTGAGGGTCTCCAATAGTCGTCATAGTGATCACTGCAGGCCTGGCCTAGCCCATGGTGGCTTCCCATAGGTGATGCTGGGATGGGAGCTGGATTTGGGTTTGTGGGGAGGGGAGAGAGAGCCCTCCGGGAGTCCACAATGAGCAAAAACCCAGCAGCCAGCATGGAGGAGGGCTTGCCTTGGGAAGCCTGCACTGATGGGCCAGGGGCTGAACCCCTAAAGGATCTTCGTGTCCCTCTGGATACAAAACAAGGCTCCCTAAATGCTGCAAACACAGACACAGAGCCTCGGCCCTCAGAATCACACCCACTTTCTGGAGAAACAGGAAAACAGCACTGGAATGCCATAAAGTTATCGAGTTCTTTTTTCTTTTTATTGGCAAAGTAAATATATTTTTATGAAGGACCAAAGAAAATATACATAATTGTAACATATGTACACCAGCTTTATAGATTTTTTTAATTTCAAATGTACACAAATGTTGATATGTTATTAAAAGATATTTTATGTAGATGTACCTATGTACAGCTTATTTACATACATTCATAGGATGTGAAATAAACCTGTCAAAACAAGCTAGTTCATTTGATATTAATTTCTAGACAAAATAAGGAATGCATTTCTAAATCAGGATTCGGAGGCTCTATCTAGTTCGTCTACACGCAATGCAGCCTGCTCCCCTCTTTTCCCCAAGGTGATCCTGGAGGCTGGTGTCTGGATTTGTCTGGAAACAGGACGAGGGGATGAGCCATGCTGGGTACCTAGACTGCACCTGTCTGCCCTGCACTGTTTAACTCAAGCACATGCACTGCCAGACCGCCCCCCGCAAAGAGGGGGCTTTTCACCCTAATTCCATTATCTGCCCAGAGGCCAGGTTCTAAACCCCTGACGGCCCTTCCCGTACCCTCCTCCTCCTCCGGCAGTCAGGCTGAGCCAGAGGTCTGGGACCAAGCCACCCTCACACCACAGTGCAGCCCTGGACTTCTGGCCTACTTCCTTCTTCCCAGCACAGCTCCCTCTGGGAACTGACATTTCAAAACGGCACATTTCTTCTTCTGAGCAAAAAGTGCCGGCCTTGGCCCAGGCAGGGAGCCCAGTGGGAGAAGGTCCAGGCTCCCCGCGCCGCTGCAGCACAGGCCGGCCCGCTGGAAGGCACGAAGGCACAAAGGCGGGAAGGCAGGGCCCCCTGCGCGGGTGCTAGGGGCTCAGACCCCAGGGACCCGGGCGTGGCTCTAGGTTTCCCGGGAAAGGCAGCGGGCCGGGCGGCTCCGGTTCCCGCCTCCCAGGCAAGCCCCTCTCTTCCTGCACCTCCCGGGCTCCAGAAGGTGGGTTTGCAACATCGTCACGTGCCTCTGAAGAGGCAAATAAATTATTGCTACAAAAGAACTGGGCGGGTGAGGGGGCGGGGCCGGCGGGCGCTCAGTTCACCGTGCGCACCGAGCGGCTGCTCCGGGGAAAGCGGTGCACCTTGATGTGCTTGGAGAGGTGGTCGCTCCGCGCGAACTTCTTCTCGCACACGGGACACTGGTAGGGCTTCACGCCCGAATGCGAGCGCCGGTGCCGCGACAACTCGTCCGAGCGGGAGAACCTGCGGGACACGCACGGGCAGAGGTCAGCGAGACCCGCCCCGCCGGACGCCCACCCAGAGCGCGGCCGGCAGGTGCAGGGCTCTACGCAGGGGCCCGGCAGGCGCGGCCCCGGCGCTGCTCCGGCTCCCGAGAACTTCTGAATCCACTGCTGAAAAGTCACTGTCCCAAGCCCCATCGCCCATCCCCCCCCCCCCTCCAGAACTGCCAGTAAAAGGCCCAATGCTGCACGGCGGTCTGCTCTCAGGCATCTGGGCCTGCGAGCAGCTGGTAAATATTCCGATAGGCGATCAAGCCCACCAGAGTCCGGGATTACTGCCCACAGCCCCCTCCCGCCCGGCAGTGTGCAGTGGGGTCATCCTGGCCCTGATACACCTCGCATTCCCTTTCCCCCTTAGGCCAGAACTTGGGGCTTCTATGAGCGTGTGCGTGGGGAGGCCTGTCCAGAGCCGAAGCTGAAGCCTGGGAGAGGTGTCTCCCCGGCCCTGCAGGGATCTCCCGGCTCCTCCTGCCTCCATTACAGCGGAGGTGGGGGTCTTCAGACTTGAGTCCCCACTCCAGTCCCAGACACCGCTTTCCTGAAGGCTGGGCCCCCTAAAACGTCACCAAACAAAACCATGCCACTGCAAGGTACTTCTGAGAGTTTAAATGGTTCCCCTGCCACTTCCCTCTCTCGGCCTCAGCCTGCCTGGGAGCAAGTGCTCCCACAGCCCAGAGGCCACTGAGAATGAGCAGCTGCTAATGCAAGAGGTAAGGATCTGAGCTGGACCACAGGGCTCAGAATGTTGTCACTGACTTCAGGGATTTGAAGCTCTCCCCATCCCGTGACCCTCATCCTGACAACGAGATCCCTCTCGTCCCCCTCCCCCGCCACATACTGTCTTCCTCTTGCTCCATCTACACGGACCTATCCTTGGTCCTTCTTGCCACAGGACATTTGCACATACTTTTTCCAGTCCTGGAATGCTTTTCTCTCCCCTCTCCTTGCTGCCTCCCCCCATCTGTTAGAACTTAGCTCAAATGTCACTTCCTCAAGAAAGCCCTCCGGGACTGCATCCCATTCTAGGCTCCCACAGCACTATATGCACCTCAATTTCCTGGACCTGCCACTATTGTAACTTTAAATTCGCTTCCAACTTCTTAATGAATGTCAGCCTGTACCACTAGACCATCAGCTCCATGAGGAAAGATGTGTGTCTCGTTCCCTGTGGTCCATCCCACAAGCAGCCCAGGGCCTGGTGCCTGGCAGATGCCAGCAAGTGCATTCACGTGAGAGCGTGGACACAGCAAGCACCCACAGGAGGATGAAGGACTGTTACAGGGCACTCTCAAATTCCACGGCATGCACAAACACGCACATGCATGCACAACATGCAATGCACACAGACACACCCATACACACAAGCTACCCATGTGCTACATAAGCATGGGTGCACTGCACACACATGCGTCCACTCTACATGGGTGCACAGGGTGTGCACACGCACACATGTACACGTATGCACATCATGTGCATGGGCATACGTGTACCTACGTGAGCACACACATGTACACACACACAGGTACCGGGACCAACAGTCCCTTCCCAAACCTGGGGCCACACAGCAAGAGGTAGGTTGGGTGGAACAGCTGTCCCCAGACCAGCCAATGTGTTGGGACCGGTAGCCTACCTGTGGCCTGACCCTATTGGTGGAAGCTTTAATCCCACAGCCTGTCAAGAATCAGAAGGACACAGCAGAACATTCCCTGAGGAAGGCTCGAGGTGGGCAGTAGGAAGGCCTGAGCACCAGATAGGGAGCCCAGAAGCACAGAAGACAGGCGGCTGGCACTCCGCTTCATATCCCAGAGCATCAACTGAGGCTGCTACAGAGCAATGCTCTCATCCTATCTTTGGAGCTGTGGAAGACTGACTGGCCCATTTGCCAGATGAGGAAACCAAGGCTCAGCATGATGAGGGCCTGATCCAGCATCCCCAGCATGACAGAGCAGTCAAGGCCGGAGCGAAGATCCTGATCCAGCTCCCTGCTGTGCCTGGCCTCCTCCACATTGCCTGGCTGGGCGGTATATCACTGGAGCCCTGAGCCAGTGAGGAAGCTGCACAGTGCACCCCGGCAGTCAGAGCCTGGACCGTGCTCTCAGGCCAGGGCCACCTGCCCCAGCAGGAGCTGCACATACAGCTTCTATACAGGTGGGCTTGCCCAGGGCAGGGGTAAGCAGGAAGCCACAGAAACAACGCCACCAGCAATATCTGAGCCATCCTGGGCACGAGGCACTGGGATTACCTTGCACCTTTCTGGCCAGGGAGCCAGGATCAGTCCCATAGGGTTGACAACACCACAGCAAGGGCTCAAAAGGATAAGGGGCTTGCCAGGGTCAGAGCCAGCAGAACGGCAGGATCCTTTCAGGTCCCTACCCCACCAGGAGCCCTGGTGTGGTCCTGGGCAAGATTTCCTCACTCATCCAATGAAGACTTTGGGATTCTGGCCCACCTGCTGGGACTCGTCTCAGAGGCCAAAGGAGTTGACACAATGGACACAGTGGCCCTCTCATCCTGGGCACATCATGAGAGCTAGGCCTGAGAACAAGCTGTCCCTACCTGCCAGCCTCCTCCCTGCTGCCTTAGGGCCCTGTGACCTGAGCGGTCCATCCCTGGGAACTGAGCCCTCAGAGAATCCCTACCTCACACCCTCACATTCTCCCAGACAGCAGCCACTGGAGGAGCCCGGGGACCACATAGTGGGAGGGGGGCCGGGTGGCTAAGATGCAGGCTCTGCAGGCTGTGAGCTCTGCCACCTATGACCAGGTGACCCGGGCAAGTCACCAAGTTCTGTGAGGCTCAGTTTCCCCACTTGGAGACGTGGAAACGACAGATCTGCCTCGGGGGACTATGCGGATTGGGGAAGGTACTTGAGGGTTTACAACAGTGCTCAGCACGTGGCAATGATTCAGTGACGGTGAGCTCTGATTACCTGCAAGCTGCTCAGCGCAGAACCTGCTCCTTGGTGACATCCAGGAGCATATGGGTCAGCACCATGATTTGTGCTGCTGAGGTACTAGAGAGGGAAGCAGCCCGTAACATCAGCCCCACCGCTGGCACACACAGCACCTTTGTGCAAAGTGCTCCTTCCATCAGCCAGAAAGCCATTATTGTAGACAGGTCTCAAGGCCTGCAATGGGCATGGTGCCCCCCAGATTTGTACAGTGTACAACCTGTCCAACACCACTTGGGGGAAGGGGTGAGAGAATGCCTTGTTGAATAAGGGCAGCAGAGACATGGGAACCAAGCAGGCCAGCAGTGTACCACCAGGTCTGAATCCTATCCTGGCTCTGGGGCCTCAGGCCCACAGGCTCCCTTTTCTGGGCCCCCTGTGTCCCCCAGGGATGACAGCAGTACCTGCCACACAGGACTGCTAGAAGTTATTAATATTCATATTAGCTGTGGAAGGAGGGGATTCTTACTGGATAGAATGGCTTGGCCATTCCGGAACAGGATGTTCTGCTGCCGTGAACAAAAGGCGCCTGTGTCTGAGAGCGTAGCAAGGGAACTTCTAGGAAGGCGGGCAAACAGCCACTTCCCAGACAGACTGGAACAGGCAAAGTCTGGTTTCGGCCCCGTCAAGGATGCCAGAACCACGTCACGAGAAGGAAGGGGACAGAGAATACTGGGTTCAGGATCAAAAGCTGAAGGAAGTGGGGGGTTGGTGACCTGGCAAAATGACGACCTGGCTGTTGCAGGGGTGGGGGAGTGGGGGAGCCACCATCATTTCACAAACGGGCACAGGACACAGGGCCAGGGCCACCAGGAAGATAGGTGGCCTTGAGAGTGGTAAACTCCCCATAGGAGGAGGCAGGCAAGTGTGCAGGGGTGCGGCCTGAAGACCAGCTGCAGGTGGAGGTTCTCCCTCCCAGCACAGGGGCTGGCCATCCCTCACTGGAGGGTACGCAGGGGGCTGGAGAGAGGTCCTGAGTCTGGGTGTAGGAGGTCAAGGGGCAAACAGTCTGGGTTGGACTCCGGACGCTGCCACTCATTAGCTGTGTGACCAAGGAGAAATTACTTAACTCTTCTGTGCCTCAAATTCCTCCTCTCTAAATGGGGGCAGCATACTGGTGCCTACCTTGTGGACTTATGTGGCGCATTCAATGAGTTACTTTGGAATGTTCAGCACGTGCACGAGAGCTCTGTTATTGCTGTTGTTACTGTTAGCTCTCTGCTCCTCGCCCAGAAGCTTCACATCTGAAAGAGCTGATGGCTTCATCGGGGAGAGACGACGCCCAGCCATCATGGTACCAGGTGCACAGGGAGAGAGGATGAGGGAAAGGCCAGCTGCATAGCTGTCCAGGTGTGAAAGGCATGCCCACCAGACTGCTGGTGGGACAGGGTGGGGCTGAGGCACTTGCTTGAGGGCACACCCAGAGCCACGCTCACTAGCTCCACCCCTGTGGGCCCTCTGGGAAATGCAGACTGGTGCGCCCATGTTACGGGGCTGTCCTGAGGGCTCAACGAGCTCATTTCTGTGACATGTGCAGAAGAAAGCAGGGACCATTGCAAGATCGACTACCATTGCCATCAGAAGGGAAGTGTTGGAGACAGGGGGCACACAGAGGGGGCAAAGAGGGTGGGGGCCCGAGTGGGAGCCTGCACTGTGCAAGGGAGGCTGGCCAGCAGATCAGGCCAGAATGCGAAGTGTGGATAGGAATCTAAGAGTACCAAGTACATGAAGAGGCGAGAGTAGCCTCATAAAGTAATGGGCTCCTCATGGCAGGAAGTATACAACCAAGTAATGTGGATTTGTGGAAGGGATTCCCACTCTGAGCACCTTAGGGTGGTGCCCAGAATACAGTCGGTGGCCAGAAAATGTGGCACCCAATTGCCATCATCACCACTACTTCTGCTGTCCTGTCCAGATCAAGCTGTCCCAGCGCCGGTCAGCCTGCCTGCCCAACTACTGCAAGGACTCCCTCCGCATAGAAGGGACACACACATCTCATGTACATCCCCAGGGGTTCTGGACTCCCGAAGGCCAATGAGGGACTCTTGCATCCTCAGAGAAATAGCTCTCCCAAAACACAGGTACCCTCAGCTGCCTGTGCCTCCATCACGTGTAAAAGGCCAGATCCCATTCCAGGGGAACCCTGGGAGAAGCTGGGGAGGCCTTTGAAGGCCTAGGAGTGGCTGGAGGCAAGGATGGCCCCAGGGTCAGTTCCACAGGAACTCACCATGCCAGGCACATGCCGTGCCTTCCCCTGCCAAGTGGGTCCTGGGCAAGAACAGTGCCAGGACCCAGACAGTGGCAAGGCTGAATCCCCTCCACAAATCCCACTCTTGCTTGCACACCTCCTACCATGGGAAACTCACTATCTCTTGAGGCTGCGGTGTTGGGGATGAGATCTGCCTCCCTAAGATGCGCTCTGGGCTGAGGATTCTGTCTGTTCTCTGAGACAGCCCAGAAAGCAGGTCCCCTCCTCCTGGGGGAATGAGACAAGTGGGTAGCCTTCACCAAGGACCACACCTTCCTCCCTGTAGCCCTGCCCAGCCTCATCCCAACAGGAAGGGCCACTCGCCAAGAGTTAGCAGTGGCCAGGGGACAGTGCCCAGGAAGGTGAGCCCATCAGGAGTCGGACCAGTGCTCTGTCCAGCCACATGCCTGACCCCTCCACAGCCCTGCCTGCACCCCCCCGCCACCACCAAGAGAAAATGCATCTAAGAGTAGTCCCTGTGAGTTTGGACCACCTCCGAAATGATACTCTTCTCAGACTCTGCCCTTGTAAGAGTAACAGTGCCACCAATGAGAAAGGGGTGGTGCCGAGCACCCCTGCGCCCCTGGCCCTGAGAGGGAGAGGGAGAGAGCAGGGCCCCCACTTCACAGATGGGGAAGTGAGGCTTGGCCAGGGGGGAGCTCCCCGAGAGCACATAGCAAGTCAGAAGCTGACATAGGCTGAGGCTCCCACCATTGCCGCCAGCTACCCCCCACCCAAGGTCAATGGCCCTCCCTTCTACAGTTGAACACCTGCCTCTATGGCTCCAGTGCCTCGGCTTCCCCACACCCCCAAGCTCTGACCACCAACACCGCATACCCACCAGTGTACCAGGTCTCAAAGTGGCTCTGCAGGTACATCTGTCACCTGGGGGCCCACTCAACAGACTACGGCAGAGGCTCAGAGAGGGATGTGACACCAGCACCAACACCCTATGGGCTTCTGGCAGAAGCCCCGTGGGCCTGTCCGGTGGGTGCCTCTGGAGCAGTGGCTGCATGAGACCCTTCATCAGGAAGGGCTTCCATAACCCAAGACACTATTTGGGAAAAGTCTCTTCCTTGGTCAGCTCAGCACTCCACGGAAAGCAGCTGCAGGGTCACATCACATATTGCAGTCAGGGCCTCAGCTGGCCAGGACTCTGTGGCCAGCACCTCCCAACTGGGGCCAACCCTCCCGACCTGCCGGATGAGTCTGACCAAGAAGCTGCCAACTGCTCCCTGTAGGCCACACCCACACAGATGCACACGCACGCGCAAGGTACATGACATGCGTAGTCCTGCAGCACACCCAGACACACATGAAGAAAGCAAGTACACGTAGGTGCACATGCAGCTACACGCCCACTTGTGAGGTCTGCACACAGAGGGGCATGCCCGGTCGCTCTCTCACGAACGCTCACAAAGCGGCGGCCACAGCAGCCCTGGCAGTAAAGACCGGGAATGTGCTGGTAATGCACACTGCACCCACCCCCGACCAGATAGGCCAGATTCCTGCAGGGTAGGTGTCCTAAAAACTGGAGACAGCCCAGCTGCGGTGCCCCTGAGGGTGCGAGCTCCCGGCTGCCTGCTTTTCAGGGAAAGGTGCACCCAGTCCACCTGAAGGGTGATCTGGGGACCCCTGGGGGCCCAGGTGAGGGTGACCCGGGGGGGATCCCATCCAGCTCTGCCGTCTGCTGGCTGAGCAGCCCTGGAGCAAGATTCCGACCCTTTGAGAGCTGGCTTCTCGTGTTGCACCACACAGAGTAGAGTCCGGGAGGACTCATCCACCTTTGGGCAGCACCCCCAGCCTGGTCCTCCTTCACAGCTTCCCAGATACACCTTCAGGTATCGCAGGGAAGCAAGGGCCAGGCCCTGTCCAGGTGTCTGAGGACGTCCACAAGTGAAGCTGGTCCCTCCGGTCAGAAAAGCAGCGTTTTTTCGGGATGTGACGCCTCTGATGCGACCCTCTGGGCCCAAACCCCATTTACCAAGTGGTGTGGCCTTGGGCAAGTTACCTAGCTGGTCTGAGCCTGTTTGCTCAGCTGTAAGGGTAGCACTTGCCCTTAGGGGTTCTGTGAGGCACTGAGGGAACAGTGCACACAGGGCCACAACCCCATCTGACATACAGCCCTCACTCCATCATTCTTAGCTGCCATTGTTACTACTAAGAGAGCCCTTTTGCCATGGCCCAGCCCCTCACCCGCAGCAAGCCGGACCAGGTCATTATGAACCTGGAGACCAGGTGGCTTCAGGCTTCAGTGATCAGTAGGGAAGCAGGGACAAGGAAGCCTGTGGGCAGCCACGCCAGCTCTGGCCCCTCTGCCTGCCTGCCCCATCTCCCCTTCCTAATCAGCCTTATCTAATGGTGAACTGGGCCTTGACCACACCCCCAGGGGAGCAGAGACGAGCTGGCCGTGCTCACGGCCTGGCCTGTCACCTGTCATACTGACCTCCAGCCGCAGCCCGGCCAGGTGCAGGCAAAGGGCTTCTCGCCTGTGTGCCGGCGCAGGTGCGCCTTGAGGTGGCTGCTCTTGGTGTACATCTTGCTGCAGCCGGGGAAAGTACATTTGTGCATTTTGATGAGTTCTGCCGCTGGATTCTTGGGGAACTTCTGGCCCATGAGTAGGCCGGCGGGGCCAGGCCCCAGGGGTCCCGACCCAATGGGCTTGGCGGCGATGGGCACAGGGGCGATACGCACGAACTTGGAGGGCAGGTTCACATTGGAGGAGGGCACCACCTGGGGCACCAGTGCAAAGGTCTGACCCTGGATGTTGACCAGAAGCTGGGCTACCTTGACACTTTCCGGGGCCTGCCCAGGGGAGGCAGGCTCATTGCCCGACTCCTGCTTCACCTGCACAGGCTGGATCTGCAGCAGCACGGGGATGGGGCCATCAGATGTGGGCCCCCCACCCGGACTCTGGCTGCCACCCACACTGGCACTGCCCAGAGGGGGAGTGCCACGCTCTCTCCCACTGGACCCAGGATGGAGGTGGTTCCTGTGTGGCCCGGCTGAGAGCTGGCCACAGGCCTCCAAGTCCTTGCTGCTGCCCTCTGGGGCCTCCTTGACCCCCAGCTCCATGTTCTCCTCCAGAAACTCTTCAATCTCCTCCAGGGTGGGCTGGAAGGGCCTTGGGACGTCATCAGGGTCACCCACAGGAAACTCGGGGAAGCAGAAATGCTCCCCCTTCACAGGTGCTGGTGCCCGCCGCCAGGACCCCCAGGCCATGGGGCCACTGCTGGCCCCAATGCCACTGCCACCACCACTGCCCAGTGTGGCCTGGGACAGCAGGAAGTCCAAGATGCTATCCTGGCCCTCAGCACCCGGGCCACCGCTATAGCAGGAGCAGACTGCTTGCGAGTCCGGGCTGGCACAGGAACAGAGGCTGGAGGCGTCACTGTCATCCTCGGAGAGGGGCGAGGGCAGCATGTGGTACGCCCGCCCACCGACCAGCCTGTCACCCAGATAACCAACTGGGCATTTCGGTGACGAGAAGGTCTCGTCCACTGGAAGCAAGTGGTCCACCATGCTGGCCTGGCCGTGCCGGTGGCGGCTGCAGAGAAGAACAAAGGAGGCCTGGTCAGAAGGATGGCATGCTCACCTGCCACCTCGTGGGCCTGTGCACAACCCCCCCCCCCC